AGAGAGGGGGGCGGCAACAGCAGCCAGAAAAAAAAAAATAATAATACATCTTTTTTCTGTAAGATTTTTTTAAAAAAACAAATTCACAGTACTCCAACTCACATTGTTGTTGTTGTTAGGGGCAATCGAAGACTCACACCCTAAGGACGATGGGTCCTTGCACTATTCGACACCATCCTCCCCACCGTTGACAGTCCATTGTCACAGTCACTGTGTCAATCACCCGGTTGAGGGTCTTCCTCTCCTTCTCTGACTTTCCATCTCTCTCAGCATGATGTCTTTTTTTCCCCAAGGACGGACTCCTCCCCTCCTGAAACCATGCCCAAAGTCTGTGGGACAATCCTCCAGGGAGAAGAAAACGGCCCCCCAAGGTCCCCAAAGCTGTACATCTTAGTGAGAGCATCTCGTCTCATCTTTCTCCTGCGAAGGGGCTGGTGGGTCCGAACTGCTGACCTTTGAAGTGCCGTTGAGTTTCTGAGGCTGGAAGTCACCCAGGGGGAGATTGCTCGGCTTTCTGCCGCAGAGCTGCTGGTGGATTTGAACCAGCAGAGAGGAGGAGCCTTTGAATTAGCAACACCACTCCCTCTGAGTTACGCCACCAGAGCTCTTGATCTTCGGGTAGAACATGTAACAAAACATGTAACAAAGCGCTCAACCACTAGCTGAAGGATTGGCGGTTCGGATCCGCCCAAAGGCATCTCAGAAGACAGGTCTGCAGATCTACTTCCAGAAGATTCGAGCCTTGAAAACCTTATGAAGCTTTGTAAACCAGTATAAAGTAAATTTTAAAAAACAAAACAAAACAAAAACCCACCCAAACCATATAAAGCAATTCTGTTTGCAGAGTAACCCTGACAACAGCCTCAAGCCGCTGCATCAAGTTGACGGGTGTGTGACGAGGGCGCCACCTGGTGGGGAATGTTGGCAAACACAACAGCGTGTCCACAAGGCAAAACCTCTGTTTTTTTCTTCTTTTTTTCCTTTTTTTTTTTTTTTAAGGCAAGGATCCTTTTAACAGTTGTTTACTTCATAGCAGGGTCGCTAGATGACATATAAAGCATTCAGTTAAATTTGAACTTCATATGAACTTAGCGACAACTATAACTGAGATGTATTGTGGGTTCTGTTCCCAGCCACTGCAATAAAATAAATGTTGCCAAAAAAAAAACCCACCCCCCAAAAAAATAAAACAGGAGACAGGAATGTTTCCGTTCCTCAGGGCACGTAAAAGTGATGTGGATACTGGACTGTGGTCTACCAGACGTGCAGCTGCATTACGTGAAGGTCCGAAAAACTGTGCGAACGAACAAAATAGAACACAGAAACACCAAGTGAGCTGGTGCTCCGGCAAAAATGAGGCCGATAGATTTGCCCTATGCAGGGTGGCAGTAAATCTTCAATTTAAAAATAAAGCGGAAAAAACCGTGCAATATTGTGATCACAATAAAATGAAGTATGCCCATATGAATATGTTGTTGTTGTTGTTATGTGCCATCGAGTCACCTGCGACTCATAGCGACCCTATGTACAACAGCCTAAACCTTGCTCTATCCTGTGCCAATCTTACTGTCTCTGGCACACCTATCCCATAATCCCAGTCACTGAGTCAATCCATCTCATCCAGGGTCTTCCTCTCCTGCACTGTTCCTCCACCCTCCCAAGCATGATGTCCCTCTCCAAGGACTGGTCCCACCTTGCAGCATCTCCAAATATAGGCCTATGCTAATTCATTGTTTATCTAAAATGAAAATACAGTTTATTATTATGTGTCATCCAGTTGGAATCTACTCAGCTGACCTTCCTGCAGGTTTTCAGAGGCTGAAATGAGGCCTAACAGGACAGCAGCTGGTGGATTAGAACCAGTTGTCTTTTGGCTGGCAGAGCAAATCCTTATCCACTAGGCCACCAGAGCTCCCTATAACATAATAGGCCATTCTATATTTTCCTTTGCTGCGTCCCTGGTGTCCTTTAAGGAGCTCTGTTGGCCTAGTCCATATTGTATTGTGCTAAGAACCAAAAAGCTGTGCATTTTTCCTGACGTTCGAATCCACAAGCAGTTCATTGGGAGAAAAATGGGCAGTCTGTTAGATTTACATCCTTGGCAAATCTAGGCTTGCAGAAAATTGAAACATGACCCCTACCTCACACCATGTACTTGAGGTACATTTACCCTGCGATGGAAAACATAAGAGCCATAATCAATGGCATAAAACAAAGCCCCTCAAAACTCATTGAATTACTCACAGCTTGTCCCTGACTGAGACTGTAAAATTGCAGGGATTTGAACCCACAGAAGACTGAGGCTGCCCAACGTCCTATGACCTGGGCCACCAGAGCTTCCTAATGAATGGCATCTAGTGGGAACCAATAGCTGACCCTCCAGTGGCTTCTCTAAGGCTGTAGAGATCATGATAGGAGACTGCCCACCTGTCTCCCTTGAAGCTGCTGGTGGATTCAAACAGCCTGCCATTTGGTTACCAGGGAAGCTCCTTACACCAGCGCTCCCTTGGACATAAACAGGCTCTCAGCTACAACTGAAAATGGAAGGAGGGGAAAGAAATTAAAGAAATCCAATACACCTATGTTATTGCAGGTTATTTACAACAGCAAAGAGGTGGAAACAAGCCAAGTGTCCATCAACAAATGAATGGATAGAACAGCTATTGTATGGCAAGCTCTGGTGGCCTGGTGGCAAGAAGCTGCACTGCAATCCCAGAGGTGTGTGATTCGAATCCACCAGATGCTCTGCTGGAGAAGGAGGGACAATCTCCTCCTGCATCAATCAGATCCAATTTGACAGTACACACAATAAAAAATAATAAAAGAATTTTTTTTTTAAAAAAAAAAGCTATGGTACATTCCCCCGGTGGAATAGTATGCAGCACTGAAAAACAGTGACCTGGAAAACATTGCACAACATGAGGAACCTGGAGGATATTAAGCGGAGTGAAATATCTCAGTCAAAAAGGACAAATACTGTGTAATACCGCTGTTACAAAATAGGATAGATATAGGGTGGGGTGGGGTGGGGGAGAGAAGGAGAAAAGAGTGGCTAGATAATGAACACTGCATTAGATCAGAGGAGAGGAAGAACTGCCTGAAAGGAATATATGATTAGGCATTATATGTATGAGAAAAATCTGGAACAAGGGGTTCATTGCAGGGAGGGATGGAGGAGGGGGAGGGGAATGGGAAGAAAATGTGCAACGATGAGGGAAAATGAAAACAAAACATTTTCAATGTTTGGTGCTTTAAAAAAAAAAGACATTAAAGAAATCCAGTGGAGGAGAGTTCCTTTGAAATGGAACCATCTCAATAGTAGTGGATTTGGGGGTTTGTTTAATGTCACTAATCCTGTTATCACGAACTGCCTGATGTCTTAGCGGGTTACAGGTGGACGGGTAGCCTTAACGCCTGCAGCTGAGGCCCATCTCCCCGGGGCAGGGGGCAGGTGAGTGGTCTGCTCTGTTGATATTCGCAGCTTGGCCACCTGATGGGAGGGGGTGTGGCCACCATTATTCGGAGATTCGGCGGCTGTGTTTGTTTATCAATCCCGTTATCATTAACTCAGAACAAAACAGAAAACTCCTGGAATTAGGAAAAAGAGTATGTGCTTCTGCTATTTTAAAAAACCCATGTAAGTAAAAGTGAAATAAGGTGATGTTTTCCCTCTTTCTTTACATTTACATAAGCAAAAGTAAAATAAGGTTATAGTCGCCTCTTCGGTGGTTCCCCCCCCCCCTTTTCTTTTTATGTTGCAAGGAGTCTGGTGGGTTAGCAGATAAAGGGTTGTGTGCCGACTCAAAGGCGTTCAAATTCACCAGTTGCTCTGTGGGAGAAAGATGGGAGATCTCCTCCTGTGAAATTTCTGTCATTGTTGTTGTTAGTTGCTATCAAGTCACGTACGACCCATAGGGACCCTATGGACAACAGATCTGACCCGCAGGAACCCCGTGAAACAACAGACCTGAACCCTGTCCTTCCTGTGCCATCCTCACACTTCCTGACACGCTAGAGCCCATTGCAGCTGTCACCGTGTTAATCCACCTGGTTGAGGGTCTTCCTCTCCTTCACCGACCCTCTGCCTTTCCAAGCACCATGTCCTTCTCCAAGGAACAGCCTCTCTTAGCAACATGCCCGAGATATGTGAGACAAAGCTTTATCATCTTTGCCTCCAAGGGGCAATCTGGCTGCACCCTCTCCAAGACGTATCCGTTTGCTCTTTTGGCCATCCATGGGATGTGCAGTGTTATTTACAGCCACTGAAAACCCGCCGGAGGGTCAGCTATGAATCCCTTCTGACTTCATCACAGTGAGGTGTCTTATGTTGGTAACACCTTTGAGGTACAAAGCAGTGTCAGTTCACCTGATTGAGGGTCTTCCTCTCCTTCATTGACCCCCTGCCCTTCCAAGCATCATGTCCCTCTCTAAGGAATAGCCCTTCCCAGCTACATGCCTGAAGAATGTGAGATGAAGTCTTGTCATCCTTCCCCCGAAAGAGCCCTCCGGCTCCACTTTCTCCAAGGCATATTTTGGGGGTTTTTTATTAGTTTTTTTGGCAGTACGTTGGATGTTCAGTACTCGTCTCCAACACCAGAGCTCAAAGGCATCAATTCTTCTTCTGTCTTACTTATTCACAGTCCAGCTTTCAGATGCATAGCAAGTGACTGGAAAGACCATGGCCTGAATCAGACGTACCTGAGTCCTCAAACTGACATTATCGTTGTTGTTGTTGTTAGGTGCCATTGAATCGAGTAATGATTTAACTACTTAAAATGAAGGGAAAAAAACAACGCACAAATCTGCAGTCAGATATCATAAGAGCCAAGTTCTTAAAACAGAGCAAGGGCTGCATCAGATAAAAATCCGATTGGGAACTCCATTACTCAGACTGGACGTTCCATTTTTCTCCTTCCCTTAGTCTTGCTGGTCATTCCCAAAGTCTCATGCTCTTTATGGGTAAGGTATTTTACTGCTATTCACACTTAGAATCGAGGCTCTCATGGTGCATTGTATTCCACACACTTCGACGGATCTGTAGGAAAGTGCTTCTGGCAAATAGTCATGAACCTCTTCAAACCCTGGATATATTTCCGCTGCGTTTCATCATTTAAAACATGTGCAACATGCTTGGAAAAGCTCTTCTCTCTTCCAGTTCTGGCGTGGATCCCAACCGTAGTGACACCAATGGGCCAAGGGGCATTTCCAATGGCCATCTGCAGATAAGCAACACTTGCCTTCACATATTCTCTTTGTAGCATGAATGTAATAATATCAGTTATCGATTCCTTGATGTCTGCAGGAAGATTCCTTTTCCTTAACTTTCTGAGAAGCGGTCTGAGATAGGACTCGGTCTGTTTTTGGGTAGCGCTGTTCAGTTTACCCTGCACTCTGCGCTTCACATAGTCTTCTCTGGCATTCAATTCTTTAGCCCAAACACCAAGAAGAAACTTGAGGAATTTGGTAATGATATCCATGTCTTTATGATCATCCCCTTTTCCTAAAGACTCTCCCAGCGCCTCTAACTCTTCAATTATGGTATTTTCTTCAGGAACTTTCAAATCGTTCTGCGTGTCTTCCTCTCCAGGTTCTTGGCCTCCCACAATTTCATTGAGGTACTGCTGATCAATCTTATCCAACGCCGCTTTCAGATCATTCCTCAATCCCTTATTAACTTCTGGAGTAAGAATCTCTATCTTTCTTAAATGCCGAAAAGCATCGTAATCAGTTTCTCCAAATAATCTAATTGGTTCTCCTCTTTCTCGTAATCTTCTGATTACCTCTTGCCTAGAAAGAGTCATGGGCAATTTTTCCTCTGCCAATTCAAGTTCTAATGCTGGATTTGATGAAGTTAACGGTTTCTGATCTTCTTTTGGTTGTATCTTGTAGCCACATCTTTCAAAATATGCTTCCTCTTCCTTTTTTGCAAGTTCACTTCGCTTGAAATACTTTTTATTTTGCTCCAACAGGTTCCGATCTTCCACAAACAGTGGTCTTTTCAATTGCTTCCTATGCTTCTGAGGTTGGACACTGAGGATGGCAGAAGGAGAATTGATGCCTTTAAATTGTGGTGTTGGAGAAGTGTACTGACTATCCCATGAACTTTCAAAAGAGCAAACAAACCTGTTGTGAAGGAAGCAGGACAAGGGGGCTGGTTAGAGGCCAAGAAGATGAAACTTCATCTCATATACTTCAGGCATGTTGTCAGGAAGGGACCAGCCCTTGGGAAAAGGCATCATGCTGGAAAAAGTGGAGGGCCAGAGGAAGCGGGGGAACCCTCGAGAAGACGGATTGATGTAGCGATTACTACAGTGGGGCTCAAGTAGATTAAGGATCACTAGGAAGGTTCTGATCTGTTGTTCACGGGGTCACTATGAGTCACCATCGACTCAACAGCACCTAACAACAACAACAACAACCACAGTATCTTATTTCTCTGTAATGTTGTAACAGAGATACCACAAATGGTGCCTTTAACAAATAACTGCGTATTTTCTTACAGTTTGGAAGGCTGGAAGTCTGGATGCAGGACACTGACTCAAGGGGAAGGCCCTCTCTCTGGGTTGATTGTGAGGAAAGGTCCTTGTTTCCTTGAGCTTCCATAGGGTGGGTGGTCCCTGGAGACCACCATGTATCCTGGTTTTCCCTAGTGTCCCAGAGTTTATTTGCATGAACACTTAAGTCTTAGAGGACTCACTCCTCTCCTGGTGATTCTTTTTCTTGGAAGTACCAAAGTCTTTCCTCTTGACTGACTTTTCTTTCCTTTTTTTATTTTTAATTTTTATTATATTGTTTTTACGTGTATCGTCAAATCAGATCTGACTGGTACAGTAGGAGATTGCCCCCTCCTTCTCCAGCAGAGCATCTGGTGGATTTGAACCGCGTACTTCTGGGATTGCAGTGCAACGTCTTGCCACTAGGCCACCAGAGCTCCCTGCTTCTTTCCTTTTTTCTCTTATGAGATAGAAAGTGTTACAGGCCACACCTTAAGGAAACTCCCCTCACATCAGATCAGGGCTATGCAGCATTCCACGCTTAATACTCTTGCAAACTCTGGTTTATTAAGGGAATCATTCCACAGCCTCCATCATTACAAACATGTATTTTACTGGGGGAGGTGGACATTCAATTCAATCTGTGACAAACTACTAATAGAACAGTCTCCCACATGGGCCTCTTTGACTTTGGTGGTACAATTGAATAATAGTTGCATGACCAGGGCTTCCTTTTGTGAGTATAGATAGTATCCTATCACTGACAGCATTGTACTTCAGGATCATTCTCAAAATGTTCTTTTTTGACACTGATCTGGACACCATTCTTCTTGAGTATGCCATTTTTGGCATAATAGATCATAAGACTGTCTGATTCAAAATGGCAAATATATGTATATGCATCTTCACAGCCTTCAAGTCCAACTCACAGTGACCCTAATGGGTTTCTGAGGCAGCATATCTTCAGAGTGCTCTTCTCCAAGACCTCAGCTCAAAGGCATCAATTCTTCTGTCATCCTTATTTCTTGTCCGGCTCTCAGATGCATAGCAAGTGATCAGAACAATTCACTTTGACCTGGCTTCTAGAATCATTCACCCCTTCCCCTAACCTCCCACCCCAGCACCGGCCTGGGAACCAGTGGTCTCTGGTTTTTTTGTAACTCTCTCACCAGTTCTTTGCAGCATATCTTCACGTGGTCTGGGTTTACCTATTATAATAATAATAATTAT